AAAAAAAAAAAATCAATGAGTTTGGTCGGTTGGTTGTGAAGATATCTTCGCTCAAATTTTTAAAAAATTTTATTTATAAAAACTAGACTATCTAGGGTTATCAATATGGCATCCAATAGAAATCCATAAAATTGATCTACAGCACGTGATCTGAAAATTTTTTTCGCCATGGCTAGGGTACTAGTGATTTCACTTGATGTGATGATCACTGAGTTACGGTGTCACCAAAAATTTAACTAGGGCCAGCAAAAAATTCAATAATATATAATCCTTTATTAAATTAAAATTTGATTTTTCTCTACACACTGACATATGTCGCATAAAGAAACTTAAATATCTTATATGCGGTAATTACATAATTATATAGTTTTAGTAGTTGCTATGCAGTTACTGCGCGTTAAGTTTCTATATAGTAGTATAGATAATATCGGTCATAACAGATAAGTTCGCACAAAATGGAAATATATCCCTTTATTATGAATAAAGCGCCTTCATAACTATGATTAAGTGGATTTTGCTACCTTCTCAATAACGGATAATTGCTAAATCCCCTAATTCCAGCAATCTTGAAGTAATGTGAGATTGTTGTGGTTATAGACTGTAGCAATTGTTTGCTAGAGACGAAATAATGTAGACTATCCCAAAATCCTGTCACGCCACTCGCCAACTCTAACGCGCCCTTTCAAACCCGGACGATTTACAACATGGGTGTTGATACCCTTCAATACATACAATAATCAATTGGAATAATAATTTACTTATATTAAACGGAACTTTCAGTAACTTATTCAATAAATTTCCTTCATGCTACAATGTTTTATTTTATGTTTGTTATGCGTATATCTACATACTAGACCTTCAGTATTATATAAATCTTTCTGGATTAGAGCCTTTTCATTATTTGTGAGACATCTGAAAATTGTGGATGAACGAATCGATAGAGTTTGAATTTCGGCCGATGTCAGTAACTTATTGATTCTGATTCTGTAACTTACCATTGTTATGCGTAAAATATTTTTCTTTATTTTATTTTTTACTTTTTCTTTTTTTAGTTTGTTTATGTTGGGAAAGGGATTGTTGCGGCACGGGGTGATTAAAGCTCCAATCAATTGATTAAAGCTCCAATTGAGTGATTAAAGCTCCAATTGAGTGATTAAAGCTCCAATTGAGTGATTAAAACTCCAATTGAGTGATTGAAGGTGATTAAAGCTCAATCGAGTGACTAAAGCTTCAATCGAGTGATTAAAGCTCCAAACGAGTGATTGAAGCTCCAATTGAAGGTAATACGAATCAAAAATATAAATAGATTAGGTTTCAGCGCCTAAAAAATTTAATTATCGCTCACAGTAGTTTATGGTTTCAGTTATATTTACGATTGGACATAATTCAAATGCATAAGATTTGTTTGAGAAACATTAACAAAAGAGAACCCTTTTGGCCTGTAAAATTCAAAAGTTAATTTATACTTTCAATTAAACCATCAAACTCGTAACTTTACTACGTAATATCAACCTTTTAACTGTCTATCACGTGACCAGAATAATTCCTAAAAAAAGGCTTATGACTCTTTTTCTATTTGAGGACCCATAGCAAAAGGAGGCAGAGGGCCAAAAAAAATTTTTTAAAACTTAATTTCTTGAAGAATTAAAGTACAGTATACAATTTTTAAAAAATTACAAAATCAAGCTGTGGTGGGGCTTTCCATTTATGCTTAAAATTTCGTGTAACAATAACAATGATGATCTATTATTAGCACACGAATTTTCTGACACTGCAGCAAGGATTGACAACCGGATCATTTCAAAAAGAAGGCATTGGCAAAAATTCTATTTTGTAAATCAATGCTTTAAATGTCAAATTATATAGAAAAATTCCCGCTTTATATGATAACAAAAAATGCTATAAGCCTTTTTTTAGTTGACGTTACCCCATATAGTGTGCCCATCGGTTGGGAGAGCAATTTCGGATATTAATCCAATTTAGCTCCGATGGTTCACTTAATTTGGATAACACTTGTACTCATGATTAGGGATGGGTACGGTTACGGTTATAACCTTTGTGGCCGGTTATTAGCCGTAACTGTTGCTGACCAGTCAAAGGGTAGGCTTTCTGTAATTTTTTTGTTTACACGTATATAGGGATGCATCGGTCCGGTCCGGTCCGGTCCCGGTCTTAATGAGACTGCTACCAATAGAATTTTCGGTCCCGGTCTGGTTAGTCCTCGGTCCCCAAACGGTTCTCTTAATGACTTATTGGTCAAAATGACGTCAGATGTAAACAAACATCATATGATCTGTGTAGTATTTAAAGTTTGGGTTAGAGTTTAGAAAGTGTTTTTTAGAGGCATAATATATTTTTCTTAGAATATCTTACAATAATTAATTAACTAGTTTTTGAGATAATATATACATAGGAGCAAAACACTATATGTTGTTTTTATACTATACTTCTTTTTTAAAAAAAATAAAAATTTAAATTATATTTAATTTTTATATTACATAGCAGCTTATAATAGTGTTATTTAACAATACTAAAATTTTTATCACTTTTTTCTTTTTTTAGTTACTGTCAGCCCTCCCCAAACTGATCCTGTCAAAACTGATAACCTGCTATAAATAGCTAAAATTCGATCAACCATGTCTAAGAAATATTCGATAACCTACCATTTCTGATATCCGATATTCTATTTACTTAGGTTTCCGATGTGATCACATTATAATAAGCCAATCGCTTCTATTTGTCCGTTTTAAGTGATTTGATTGGCTGAACCTTATTGATTCAAATTTACATAATACGTATTTGTGACCTGATTAGGCCCTAGCCTATCAAATGGAATCCATTCAATCATACGTTTATACTAATTTGTTTAATTTCTGAAATTTGGACCAACCTATTATAATATATATAATTTAACCTTTATATAGGCACAACTTTTCAGATTCTTGCTTTCCAAGATGGTAATTAATTCGTAATCCGCCAGGGAACCAAAGAAAAAACATAGTAAACCGTGGGGATGTGTTTACTGTGTAAATTTTGCCTTTTTTGGAATCTGGAGCTTCCCAAAGGATAAAACGATTTTTTACTAAGTAAACCTCTCTCCAACTTCTAATTAAAGATGTAGAGGAGAGAAATTCGAGAATAATGGTAGCTGAAACGCTAAATTCGGCGTAGAGGATCGCGAGACATGTGCATTTCAGTTTTCACGACTATATCTTTACTTCTTTGTTTACACAAAGAAGCCGCGAAGACATAAATGCCCATATCTGACGAAATTATCTCCTCTACAACGTTTGTTAGAAGTTGGAGAGAGGTTTGTTTAGTAAAAAATCGATTTATCCCTTGGGAAACTCCAGATTCTAAAAAAGGCAAAAAGCAATAGTAAATTTCCCCATGGTTTACTATGTTTTCTGGCGGATCACGAATTAATTTTATTAAAGTTTGACTATATTATAAAAAGTGTTATAACTTAGAAACTAACAGTTTAATCAAAGCTATTTTCTAATATATTTGTTACATTTTGTTTAAGCAACAATTCTGTTGAAAAGATTTTTAGTTCTATATAATTTATAAAAAATATTTCAATTTAAAGTTTATATCATATATTCATAAATTTGACGCCTAATATATGAAAAAATTGTTGATATATTTTATTAACTAATCAAATTAACTAGATCAAAATTAGCCATTTAGAAATGATTATAATGAGCAATGTTTATTGGGTGGAACACAGATTGTCCCAATACTTTATATCCGGATTAGCCTCTAACGCCCATGGTGCCGGTGTTGGTTTTCTTAAAAATTTAATTTCTTCTGGAAGTTCAAGAAATTGGACCAACATTCCAACTTCAAGGTGCCACTTAAATACGAAAAAAATGGTTACACTTTTTGAAAGAGACTCATCAAAATATCACAGAGAACATTCTTACTTCGACATGGCAATGGAAAGCCCAAACTCCAGGGTTATTCGCCACAAATCGAATTACTGCACAACTTTTATGAAAATAGAGGAAATTACTAATGTATGAATAAAAACATAAATAGTATTTGTAACTAACCCATTCCCTGGAATAGTTGTGGTGTCACGCATAATCGGATATTTGAAAGTTTCGGTTACCCGGGAATCAGAGACCTTCATAACCCAAAAAACATGCCCATGCTAAATGTAAATAAAGCAAGTAAATATATACTAGCCAAAATTTATTGATTAAATATAATATCATCAGGGTTTAAAATTCAAACAAAGCATACATGCACAATACAAGTTGAAAATTTTTTTACTTAAATATTACTATATAAAAAAACTTTTTATATGCGTGCGAATCTTTTTAAAATTTCTTGCACACAAAAAAAGCCCTTGCGCATGTGCATCTTGCAATTTCAATTTTAACCCTAAACCTAAATACCATATGGTATATATAATATTATGTGAAATATAACCATGTGATATATAGAAAGTCTCAGCTGTTTAATTCAATTTACCAAATGGAAAGGATGACTGATATCATCAAAATCTAAAAAAAAAAATTAAATATTTGAAGCAGTAATAATAATATTTTAAAATATATGAATACTAACTGCGTATAATAACTTCAATTAATTGGTCTCTTGTATCCAATGTAATAATATTCTGAGTAGATGGCCAAGAAGATACACCAGCATATACACTATCCAATGTATTATGGAAATCATCGTAGGCAATATACTTCTTGGGGTTATTACCTTCATACGCCTCCCCGACTGTGGTTAAGCTGTAAACTCCTGAATCAATGTAATCAGTATCTGCTAACATGAAAACGTTCAAATTGAAAGTTTTATTTACTGTTGATGGTGGTAATGATGATAGATTTTTTGGTGCCAACATAGACAGATTAAAACCACCACATCTTCGCAAATTGCTATTGTCAATCCATCTATCCTGTATTGTATCTGGTTTTCCTCCAGAGGAATCGTACCTAACAGTCGCTAGAATGTTACTAACCACTCTTTGCTTTTGACAACAAGGTGTATATCCCCGAAGGCAATCGGTTCTCGTCTGAATGCGCATCCAAAATTTGGTTATGTTCTGTGCTGTTTTGTCTCGGGTGGCAATCACTGAGTATCTCTGTGCAAGATGAATAGGTAAATGATGGACTGATTCTGATTTATTGACGTACTCGACATACTGCCCTTCAACCTCGATGATTTGTAATGTATGATTATCAATAGAGAAGTGGTATTCCATTAGCGCACTAGATAGATATATGCTTTTAATTTATAGCAATAGAAGATATAATCGAATATGACGATTTTTTATTATTACCCGGCATTAATTATACGAAATCGATGTTTATCTCCTTTTGACAAGTCGTACACTATTCCAGTGTCGGCTGAAGTATAACAAATTTTTTCACAGGATTCAAGACAATTTACTTCCGAGGTTCCAGTACAATTTTCTTCACAATGTTCAGTACGATTACAATTTTTTTTACAATTTCCTTTACCTTGACCATTAATAAGAATTGAGTGCGGAATTGGCTATTAAAATATTAAAATGAAAATGTATAATATTTTGTGAGCCGATTTTTTGTAACGAAATTTTATTTTCATACCTCGTATTTTGCTACTTTGCCATAAGGTGAATCGCTGGTCGTATATTGGTAATTATCTAATAAAATTTGCGTATTTTCGTGATACAAATCTGATATAATTATATTGTGTTCCGTATAGTCTTTATAGCTAGTATCAGTCTCATTAATAATAAACAAGCCATAAAATCCGGCCATACGCTGAGTTTTATAATGTGAATGACTAGATTTTATATCATAGTTCCATATTTCTGTTATTATAAAATGAGATAGGCTTAGACCATAATAATTATTTGAACTGTCTACTTACTACCAATGAGTGCCAGGTTCATCATTCGCATAAAAATCGTACAGAAATGATTTACCAGGTTGAATTGGACATTGAGTTATAGCCGGAACACCGTCTGAAAACGGCGTATTCCTCATATGAAGTCCGTGCCAGTGGATTGTAGTCATTTCATTAAGCTCATTTCTTACTAATACTTGAATCCGCTGCCTTGGTCTCACATAAATAGTTGGGGCAGGAAATTCCGAGCAATTAGGCATCTTACTATTAGTGTCGTAAACAACTACAACTGGCTGTTCACCGCAGCCATCATGTTCACATTTATGATCTTTGATCGTCAAATCAATCTTACACGGATCTTTTTCATATGTACAGTCATATATTACAGAAACTGATAAGACCGAAATTGTCAAAAGAAAAACTCCAAAAAATATTGATGCAGCAAAATTTAATTGTTTCATATCATTTCATAGATTTTTAAAGATGCCAAATATTTATTGTTCTTATATTAAATATCCACTTAGTCCTAACTCAAAGTGATGAGATGGCTTTGCTTTAAGGTAGCGCCTCAACTAATTAGGATAATCATCAATTTCGAATTTATTAATGGTTAAATTTCGATATTACATTTATCTACATATTGTTAATCAATTTTTCCAACGATCTATACCGATACTATTTGATTTTTTTAAAAAAATTATCAAACTAAATTTACATTTTTTATCACAATACCTGACTAAAGTATATACGTATAATTTTTTTTAAATAAAACATAAAAGATCCGAAATCAATGATCTTCATAACTAATGCTTAGTTGAGGCGCTACCTTGGCTTTGCGATAAATATTTACGCTTTTGAGTAATCAGTTTTTTTTTCACCTAAACAATCAAAAAAAAATAAAAAAAAAAATAAAAAAAATAAAAAAAAAATAAAGCAAATACTGCATAATCTGCTAAATGTCGGTTTTCTGTCTAAGAAAAAAAAACAAATATAAACAAAGCTAAGCTATTATCAAAAATAACAAATTAGGTGGCTTCAGACTAGAGATGCTAGTGAAATTAATTTCACCATTCAACACCAATTTCACCACTCTAATTTTATTTTACCAGCATTTTTACTTCGGACCTAACGCTAAGGTTCAAAATTCTGAATTAGTGACGTATTAATTTTGTAATCAGCGATCTATAAACTTATTTATTTTTTTCATTTGCAAGCCTATTTATATAGTAAGATATAAAATATCATCAAAAAAAGTTTGTTTATTTTAATCATTTTTCATTTTCTGATTTCTAAATTTCAAACCAAAAATAGGACCATTCAAATTCCCACTTATTTTCAAAATTCGTTAACTCTGAAACCCCATTTAAAATGATTTATTTAAAAAAAACGATATTAAAGCTTTTTATATTTTTATATAACGCTAGAAATTTAGAAATTTTATTGACTTGGCCTGGATTGTATATATAGTTTTTAAAATGCTAATTACCAATTTTTGATTTATACCCGGGTACCTAAGTACGATACTATCATGCTTCTGTACCCGGAAAAAACATTATAAACCATATTCTTATCCGTTGTCAGACCCAAAACGGCGAGTCTGTCGCTAAACCGAAATTAGGATCGTGTAACCTCAACCTTGGTTACCTTGGGTTCGAAAGAGGCGTGTTATTAGTCGAGTGGTATAGTTTTTAGTTGGGACAGAACCACAGTTTGACACTGTTGAGGCAGGGTTCGTAACGACGATGTATATTAAGCGTTAGGTTTAATATACGTAACGTAGAGGTGTATAATTTTAGTACGGGGTAATTAATCAATTTACGAAGTGTATGGTTTTATTATTAGCGATATTATGATATATGAGTTAATTGTATGATAAAAAATGATTTAATAAAGCAAAGGTGGGAGTTATTTTTCCCAAGGGCCAAAAGGCCTTTATTTTATAATACCAATTTTGTCTAGAAAATCTCCCTATTCTAACAACGTCAGAAATCCCAAAAATACCATTATTAGCAGAGACGCCAATAAACCCATAAATGCCCTTATTGACAGAAAACCCAAAAATGTCTTTATTGACAAAAATACCATTTCCCCAAGAATTTCCGTTTCTACGATTTCCACCATTTCTGCCAGAAATGGCATTTCTGCGATTGTCGGTCGGGAATTCCAAATTTAGAAGCAACCGGGGTCACGAGGCACGTGCCTGCTTCAGGTCACGTTTCCGGTCTCACACCGTATACGTAATGTATTCCTCCGCACGTGTACCCAGGGTTAAACGAACTAGGGAAATATCCATCGCATATGTTAGGTAAATATGGCAATAGTCAAATAAGCTATTAACAAATATTTAAATAAATAACCAGGCGCTTGAGTTGTTTAAAGGGAGTTAGAATAGAGTATGCTATATCATATTGTAGAGTAATATTAGTGCAATTCTCAAATTTTTATCGATTTCATATTATACGTAGTTATAGTAAAAACAGGTAGAGCTTTGTATTAATTATGATAAGAAATTGTTTGGTGCTTATTTTACACATTATTTGTTATTTTATAGTGTTATATTAGTACAAATTTTTGGAGCAAGATTTTTACACCTCAGGTTATGTATAATATTTTATTATTTCAATCCTTTATATCACAATTAAGTAGCTAACTCCTTGCTTATTTATTTTTTTTAATTCATTTGCTTCTATTTAACTATCCCTCATTACCATGTAAATATTCTATATTATGTTATTGTCCGGAGCGGAGTCTATCACGGGTGCCCCTGTAAAAATATAGATATTTAATTTACCTGGGATATTTTGTATTATTCATAAAACATGAGGATTAAATTAATATTTGCCATGCAGATTTATTTACACAACCAGAAAGTTTGTTTTTTTGTACATACCAATAAATGAATAAATAAATAATAAATATATTTTAACGCGAAGAAATAATCGGTAAAAAGAGAATATAAAAAGAGAATAATAAATATATTTTTAACGCGAAGAATAATGTTAAAAAAAGAATATAAAAAGAGAATACATATAAACTTTAATATCAAATACAGTATATTATGGATGAATTCCTTCTGGAAGCGTATGCAAAAATTACATAGATAGTCTTAATTAAAATACTGTTAACCATGGTCTAGATTTAATTTTTTGTTACCAAAATTAAACCGACTATACTATTCTAGTCGGTTCTTTATTAATATATTCGACGCCAAAATACGGTGATCGATTCATTAATTAAACAATTATAATAACTTAAATTCTTTTAATAGATTACACGACAAATCAGCATTTAAATACGATGCAGCCTTAATTTATCTTCTTTATTTTTTTTTTTCGGGCATGGTGGGGGATAGCTGGACACAATGTCGAGCAGAAAATTCTAAGAACAAAGAGATCATCAGGTTACTCAAATACCATTTCGTCATGGACAAGTCTGTGACTTGCCGTCACATGGAAAGTCCAGTGACTCGCAATAATGTCCCGCCTTGTGACTCCGTTCACAAGCGGATCATTAAAATTGAAAATTTGCCGTGCATTTTTTGTACGCCACCTAGGTTCAATTACGTACGTACTGTACGTACTGGTACAGGTAGATCAGTCAAATAATTCATATACGTAAATGGTAAATTAATATTGTTAAATTTCCGGTCAATTACTAGCATGTACTTAGGTGAGCCAATTGATAAAAATTGACCGACAATTATTTGGCAGAATTCAATAAGTAATATTTATATAATTCATGTTCAGTTACTTAAAGCTGACGAACTTAATTGAAATGGGCCAGTTCCAAAACTATTTCAAAGCATATTTATTGCCAAATTATTGAAATAAAATTTACAAAGCTTACAATTTGAACTATTTGAATGAGCTTAGACCTTAGCAGGTTGATTACTCGGGTGGTTTCATGCGTTGAAGAATTTTCATCAATTATAGAAAGTCACGTTTATTACTGAAGCCTAACTACTTTTTTTCACATTTCAAGTGAATCATCTAGCTACAAACTAAAAAATCGAACATACAAATACAGTATTAGACAGAGTCTCAATGTTTAGGTTTAGTTCTAATAATAAACGGATCTTATAAGTGTAAATATATCATGTTTGCATAATAATTGTCGCGGCTGATGCTGAAATTTTGACTTATTTTATTATGAAATTTTAAAAAATTTTTGGGCCTTTTCGTTAGGGGGTTTTTTTTTAGTGTTAGGTTAGGGTTTGAGGGTAGTGTTGTTAGTAAAAAAGCATATGTGAATTTTAGTAGGTATTATGGATTTAAATTGGGACCCTAAATTTCAGCATCAGCCGCGACAATAATTAACAAATAATAAATGAATTGAGAGTTCTTAACGCTTTTATAGAAAAGATAAATGATACTTGATCATGATTTACAGACGGATGTGCCTCAAATATAATAAACAACAAGCTTTGTGCCTGCTCATGCGCTGGGAGTTTTTTATTTTAATATTTCTTGTTAAGGTTTATTGGCTGACAAGAGTGTACTTCCATAAATTTTTGTACAAACTAAGCATACTAAGCATATCGAATATACATGCAGATAAATATTTAATAATATTGCTGCACTGTGTAAGATTGTTCTCAAGCACTTCATTCAATGGATCGGAGGTAAATTTTAATTCGTCGGAAATTAAATAAAATAACCAAGTGAGCTAATTTCGATGAAGTGAGACACAAACCACCTTTTTTTCAAAAATTTACCATTAATAAAGAGCACTTAAGCATTATTTTACATTTTTTTGCATATCAAACATAATAAACAATTAATTCTCAACAAATTTCTAACTGGTCTAAAAAGATCACCGTTTTATTTTTATTATTCGAAGCTTTTAAATATAAATACAACAATCTTTTAACGTTCAACCAAACCATAATGAATACTGTTTTTCCAATTTTAATTTAAAATCTTCTCAGTAAAGGACCTAAAACTGAAAGGTTTGGGTAGATATTTGATGGATAGTAAAGAAATTTAAATTGTTAAAATCATTAGAAGGAGTAGCCGACGTAAATTAAAGAAACTGTAGAAACCTATGTTGCATGTAATGCAAAAGAAATTTTTACGTATAACCAAACCATTAACTTTGGATGCTCTCAAGCATCTTACTCAATGAATCAGTGGTAAATTTTTTAAGTAAATCAAAACTATATGCAGTTATATATTAAAATTTATTAACGAAAATTTTTAGCTAAGTAATAATTTTATAATAATTCTTGCAAATTTAAATAGATGCACAGCCCTAACGGCTCGATAGTTTTGGATAAAATTTTGCAAAGACCAGCATTACATCTCTACAAACAAAGCAATAGAAGCTATACAGCTATTTCTTTAAAAAAAGAAACCAATTAAGTCCTTACTTTTTTTTTTAAAAAAAAAACAGAATGTATTAAACTTTTCATATTTAAATAGATAAAATAGCTCTATAACTTTGTTTGTAGAGATGTAATGCT